TTTGTTTTTTTGGTTGGGGGGGGGTCTTCAGGGTCTTTGGGAGCTTTTATGTGCTATTTTCTGATTGCATGTAGACAACACAGACGGCCTGGTTGAAAAATATACTCCAGTTTTTTGACTGGGCTAATCAGAAAACAGCCGAAGTCTACCAAACCCCCAGTTCTATAAGCCTGCCACGGAGGTTAGTGGCCAGCTGGAGACGTTCAGTCGGCAGGGTTTGCCCCAAAAAGGTCCGTGAGAGTGTTGGAGCGGGGCTAAAGCCGATAATTAGGCGGTGTTCATCTGTGGCCTTGATCTTCCGGCTTGACAGGGTGATCTGGGCGGGGTCAATGTCCTGTGGACGCCATGGTTAGCCGGAAATGCAAAACTGATCTATCAATCAACAAGGTCAATGAAAATTATATGATATTTTTTTAGAAAAATACTATATAATTTTTATTATAAATATACTTAGAAAAATACTATATAATTTTTATTATAAATATACTTAGAAAAATACTATATAATTTTTATTATAAATATACTTAAATTTCTAAGGTTCGAATTTAATTGTTCAGCGAAAGAAAGTTTTACCAAGGACATCATATAGGATGTCCTTGGTTTTACCAAAAATAAAGTGAAAATGCTAACTCTTCGCAATGCAATGTTGGCTAACAATGTACTAGTACGAGTACTACATGTAGTAACTATGCCCGGCGATTACTGCCATCCAAGCAGATATTAGGGCCATTTTTCGGATGTTACGCTTGTGTGTTTAGAAAAACTGCCCGTACCAGCCAGTGAATATCTGCTCCATACATCTGCTTGCCTGGATCAGAGCATGGCTGAACCCCGCTGGCACGTCCTACAGAGAGGGGCCATGGCTCCAGACGTTCCAGGCGACCTTCACATGACCTTGATAACATCTTTAAGTAGAAGTGTGACAAATCGGGACAGCACGACTGTCTGGCTACCAGTTTCTCTTGCCTCCAATTTACTGAGGAGTCAGCGGAAGGAAAATGGAAGACACTACAAACAGTTTTGTTTAATGTTCTCATCTAGATTTTAATGGTAGAAAGTATCCTCTACCAGGCTTCAGAAGCGACTGGAAAGAGTAGAAATTGGCCATATTGAGAGATAACATGCCGAGAGAGTTCGTCCGATAAAGGAGTACAGTTTGCCCTGGCTTTGAGGATAAGCAGAAAGAACCAATGTTCAGCAACAGCAAAACAAAAGACAAAGTGAAATCAACGGAAAGCAATTTGATTGCAAATATGTATCATGAAACAAAGGAACAGCCTATCCTCAGTGCTATAGCGAAGGCTATAAGCTCCTTGGCTATGCTGTTCACCTGTGTGGCGTGCTCACAAATAATGAAAAATGGCATCGCTCAAGGTCTGTTGGCTTAGTGCAAGATCGATATTCATATTCATTGTTATTTTTCGTAGCTCTGTTGTACTAGTAGGTACTTTTGCCCCGCAGGTACGATTTGATGAAGAGGGTTTTTTAATCCACTCCTCGCGTTAGTTTTCAACGCCAGGCCGGCGTCTCGCGGGTGACTAAGGCTGGAACTCTACCTGACGCGTTTCCATGACAACGTTCTAAGGCAGATGACGCGCGCTGACGTCACATGGAGCACTGCCAAGGTCCGTGGCACGTGACCAAGAATAACAAAACTTTAGCGCCTTGGCTTTGTTCGCGTCGGACTGTTTTGATTGAACCTCGTCGGTTTTGCAAGAGGTGTTTGTTATCGTTGGACCGCTTGTTATGTAGAACAGGGTCAATTACAACATTCTTGTAGCAGAAAGCACGCGAAAAAAGGGACGCTTTTTTCTCAGGCCTGGGAAAGTAGAAATATTCAAATCTTGGCACATTTGAGAGAATACAGCAGAACAATAGTACTTCATTCGCTTTGTCACTCGTGACCCGACCTCTATTACTCAATTTTTCATGAATGGTTGTAAATATGATGTAAATTTTGCGGTAGGCTCACACAGACGCACTCACACCTAAGGTAGAAACTGTGAAGACCAGCTCTCCTCAGTGAGAACACAGCGCAACGCCTTTGAACTTGTCTACAGCAGGCGGGGTGGTGGGGAGGTGTGAAAGAGGTTTTTATTCAATTTCGGAGCCTGAAAGCAAGAAAAAAAGGTGCCGTTCTTTTGGCAAAGAGGGTGCGAACAGCTAGACGAAGGTCGCATGTCAGTGAAAAGTGGGCACTGCGCACTTGGAGTAGCTCTAGCACGCTTGTCCAATCCTGCATCCCGAAAAAAAACCTAAACGATTTTTGAGGGGTCAAAAAATGAGACTATAGCCGACTTCAGACGACCATAAGTTAGAATGCCACCAAAACCCGTACAAAATCTCCTACAAGGCTTTTTGACCGACCAAACAGTTTTGAGTTGTAGAAGGGCAATGCCAAGTTTACATGACGCCGCCAAACAATGCATAACAAGTCAGCGACGAAATATAACAGGATCACTTTGCTCGTACGAGCTTTAAAACATTTCCTCAAAATTCGGGCGGGGACAGCTCTTACTACTCTCCAAGCAGAGATTTGGGTTTTGGGTTATTTTTGGCGTGTTTTTAGGCTTTTTTTAAAATCTGGGTTTCTTTTTTGTACTGGAATAAAAAAAAAACGATAAAAAAACTAAGAACACGCCAAAAATAACCCAAAACCCAAACCTCTGCTTGGAGAAAAAGTTTTTTTTAAACGGGATTCTACTAGTAAAATTATTCCGATGAATAAAATCGCCCATAAGTTTGTTGTGGACGAGAAGGCGGCCCGCACGCGCGCGAAAACAGATCGGCGTGGGAAACCAGCGCAAGATCGGATTACGGCGAAATATTTTGTGCCATTGACACGGCCACAATACCCCTGAACTGGCAGGCCCTCCATAGTAGAGCAGCTCTCAGGCCATGGCGTTAGGATCTGAATGACCCTGTGGGACATTAGCATAGCGTAGTACTCTCCAAGCAGAGGTTTAGGCTATTTTTTACGTGTTTTTATGTGTTTCTTTTTTTTTAAAATATTTTTTAAATTCCTTTTTCTGTTCGTATCTTTTTTTTATTTGGCAAATGAATGGTATTACTGTCTGGCAAATGGATACTGCCTGGCCAGTTTGATACTGTATTGCGATGTTACATCAGCATAGCGTAATACACTCCAAGCAGAGGTTTTGGGACATTATTTTTGCGTGTTTTTAGGCCTTTTTATCGGGCTTTCTTTCTTATACTGGTATCTTTTTTTTTAATTACTAGTATCATCGAGTGGCAAATGGTAACTGTCTGGCGAATGGATACTGCCTGGTCAATTTGATACAGTTTGCAGCCAATGAAAGATCTGCTTGGAGATTATAGGATAGGCCGTGTATAGTTTGATAGGGTACAAATATCCGCGTATACAGTGAGTATACTTACATCGGGGCATGCGTGTAAGGTATGCATGTAATGGTTGTGTGTATAAACACATTTGGCGACCTTTACGCTGACAAAACTTCGGGTTTATAAGTGAGATGTTCCGATAGCTTTCAGGCAGTGTTGAGATTTTATTTGTGTACATATTACAAACGTCATTCAAATCGGATCGAACGAGACCCTCCTTCCCAAAAATAAACAGGAAAATAAACAAGAAATAATAAAAATAAACAAAAGCAATGCCACAATATTGCGAGTAATTTGTACAACCATGGACCATGGTACAACAAATATATCACTAAAATCATTTTCAACCTCTCTCATTGCGAATAATACTAGTAGCCACATATTAAAAAAAAAGTTTTCTTCTCCATATAGGACAACGATAAAATATATCACTTTATAGGCATTACGTTGTATACAGTAAATATGTTTTAGTGTTCTAACAATATGATATTTGTTGGTAGTACGTAAGTTTTTACCGGATATAAATGTATCTCCATTTGTCGCCGTCAACATACTTTAAGGGCAAATTTTTTTGTGAGAAAACCATAATTGAAACATGCGATTATCATTATAATTTCTATATAGACTCAAAATTACTCAAAATATGAGTTACACAATTTGTCGTTTTACCTAACATTTTTGTGGTCTTTTCAATCGTGTTATACATTGTGTGGTGGTGTGATCAGTAAAGAAGAGAAAACGTAGTACCCGAAAGACGTACAAAACGAACGAAATTGCGTAAAAATTCGAAATACGGGACAAAGACGCACATCTGCTTGTGTCCAGGCCTCGCCCTGATTGGCTAAAGTGCGGCGGGTTACGCACCAAAGGCGAGTTGTGATTTATGCTAATGAGCCGGTTGTCGCCCCCGGCTGTAGATGTAACCCTCCGCGTCACTCTCCGGACGACACCGTGGCCGCGCACGGTGCAGCACCTCTGCCCCCAAAACAACTTTTTTTTTTTACCCCACCATTTCGAATTGGACCCAGAAGAGGATTTTCTGTACTTAGTTCGTAAATTCTGAGGGAAATTTTCTTGTTTTTTCCTCAGTTTTGGCCGCCCAGGATATTCGCGCAGTGATACCAGCCCTGCACTCGCCTCCAAAGTTTGTGTGGGACGGGAAAGGAGGGCAAGAATTTGGAGCTGGGGGACAACACGGGACACGGACCACATTCGCTCGGATTTCTGGATTTTTTGGACCGTTCCTTCCCCGTTTGGATTACCCAGCAGATCTATGTGGATTCTCAGAAGACGGAGGTAGCGTTAGGAGAGGCATGAGGAGCCTTTTCGCCGTGGTTTTGCTGCTGGCCGCGGCCGGACCGGCCCTTGTCCAAGGTAAGTCTCGGGCGACTGCCTATTGTTATGCTAGGCGCCTGTTGCGCTCGGCCCATGCCAGGATTTTGTTCGTAAATATCACAACAAATCTTTCGATTAACACTTCAGACGAATGCTTGGCGTTTATACTAGTCTAACATGAGTAGTTTGGCAGTGGTGGTTTGTAGATATGTTTTAAATCGACTTGTTTTGAGCTGGCAGACTTGGGAAGCAGCGAGGCACCTTCTGTCAGATTTGGTGTGCACTGTTTTGAACGACTGACCAAAGGAATGGGGCAAAGTTATGCCTCTTTAGACTCGCATTTCTGCCAAACATAACTCTAGGAAGGACTAGGACGTCGCTAAGGTGTTACTTGAGTTTCAAAACAACGTAGATCGCGAGTTAGGACCCCTGTTTTTGTCGTTAAAACCTGTTGCAAAGTTTTCGGGGGTTCGCCCCCCTCCCCCAACCCCCGCCTTTGTTCCCCTTGGGGTAATGCGGTGTAAAGAACTCTGCATTCACACGGTAAAACCGGGCTTCCTTCACAATCAGAGCGTGTTATTTCTGCTGCAAACTCGGGAAAAATCGGCGCCGGGGAGCATCCTCCAATCCACTGTAGTGTTTTATTGGGACTGCCGATTGGATTGTGAGTTAAAAATGGGGCAACAAAAACAACATTTTGTAGTGAGAATGGGAGCTGGCAGTCGGGCCATTCACCGAGGGGTTTTGAATGTTAATGAGGTGTTGGTGCCGTTAGTGCATGTGTTCGGTGTGGGGAGGGGGACGGTTAGGACCATCTGTTCGCTTTCCCATGGCCTAGGCTTGCCCCAAGATCGCGATCCCACTCTCCAAGGGACAAGGCAACATCCACGAAAGATTTGCAGGTTGCAGCCTTTCCGAAATGCGTGTTTTGGGCCACTAAATCGGAGTTAGACGGCCCGCTGGTTGTTTGGTCGCAGGCTTTGAAACCGGCACAGGGAAGACGTGGTCTTGTGGGGTTTTTTGTTCCCCCCAGATCTTGAATACAACAAACAAAAGTCTAGATCAAAACCAAAGAAATCTAAACACGAGCTACCAGGCTCCAAGGCAAACCAATTACAATTTTCGTGCTGCTTTTTTGCTCAAGAAAAATATGAAAGTTGCACTTTTCTGTCTACAGTTACCCAGCAGAACAATAAAAAGAGAGGTCTTGGAAATATGCATAGCTTTGAAACTGTGTGAGAAGTCTCACTTCTGTTGCGTCAAAATGCACGAAATAATGTACAAGAAGTGTGAAAACTGTTTAATTTTCATTCTTTTTCTACAAAATCCACCCCAAATCAAAAGTTTCACTTTTCCCACAGCTGGCCAGCTGATTTCGTGGGAACAATAAAAGAGGTCCTCAAAAATTAATGATTGATGAAAATTTGAATACGTGATCCTTTGTGTACGACTAACGTACCATTTTTATGATGCTGTTATTTATTAATGCGATTTAATGCAAACACACAACCACAAAACCTTCACGACCAAGGGTTAAAAAGCACAGTAGAGAACCTACTGACACAAAAATAGACTATCCAAGAGTATTTTTGGGTGAAAGGTTTCTTTCCTGAGCAGATACAGATTTGTTGATCTAATAGGTTCTTGTCGGGGCAAAGAAATTGATCTGTTCGCTGTCCGTGTAATAAATTGAATCTCCATTGATTGCGCGGCAGATGATAGTGCATTAACTGGTTATGAACACTGATGCTCCATTGAAAAGACGTAATGATAGGAGTATGCAATCAATAATGTTCGGGGTGGCGTTGGCAGTCCCAGCGCGATGGTAAAGATATCCCGCCTACGGGGCTAGATAAAGGAGATAGGAGCGGAAACCAAATCAATACATTTCCCTTCATAACATGTTTGGGCAACACAAAATGTTTGTGGTCTGTTTCGCGTGCAGTCTTTTGGAAAAGAATCTGACTTCAATCAAATCAAATGAAACACTTCCACGGGTATATAGGTTTACGACAAAAAAGGTCACGGTCAGAAATACTTTTGGAGTCATTCTAGGTCAAATTACACAATAAATTACTAGAACTGTGGCATATCTTTCTGTTTTAAACATAGCAGTTTCTTTTTAAGTTTTAATGATGAATGATATTTTAGCAATGTACCTTCTTTGTTATACATAACACTGAACCCAAACCTAAGTATGCTGCTATTGAAAAGTGATGTACCAGTTCTTAGCTTTGTTTGGTGCTTGCGTGAGTTTTTGTGCAGAGGAAAGGCGTTGCATCATTTCACTTTAATGTCACTGTTTGCTTATTCATGGTTATTTCTCATGTTTACAGGGCTGGTGTGTCAGGCAAACAACTCGCCTTGTTTGAACGGAGGTATCTGTGAAACGGATTCGTCAGGACAAGGATCTTGCGTGTAAGTATTTTCATCTGACACAGATTTTTATCCCCTTCACTGTATAATTGCAAAACTTCAAGTTGATATCTTTAAAAAAGGGAAGTGCATTACGTGACAGTTTTATCTATCTCAATAATCAAAATCTCTTGTGTACAAAATTTGTTTGCTAGCTGGAAACATTTGCTCAACAACAAGTCAACACTAAGAATAAGATATCTGAAAAATTCTTTTACAGAGAACAGTTACCTGGCATTACTTTACTACATACTGTTTTATTTCAGGAAATGTCATTTTACTTCTAGTTTGCCAGGTAGTAACAATGGTACTAACTTTCTGTAGAGCTTTGCGTTGGTGGAAGTCGTGTAAACAATGTTTGGTCGGGCTTATCCCTTGTGATCTGGATTTGTGTACGTTCCCGCAGGTATAAACTACACTGATCCTAGAACACAGAATTCTGCTACATGTTATTTGAGTACCCTTGATGTTGCAAAACATACTTTGACTAGTCAGCAGACAGCTGTCACACTCTTAGGGGAAACAGGGATTTTAGGATGGACAGGATACATATGTTTTGTAACTGGAGGCTTTGCGTTTAGTTTCAACGTCTAAGTCGACTTCTTAGTCGAAATTTTGCTTTAAGTTTGAAAGAAAACATAAAGGGGCAAAACAGTGTGTGGCTATATTGTAGAATCTGGTTCCATTGTTTACTAGAACAGGGAGTCTGGGAAAGCTACCTAGCTTTCTCGAAACTGATACTTGTATTTACTTAAATGGCAGTTGCGGGAACTAGCTACCCCTTTTTGCAAATGATCAGAGGCACGAAGAAACAGCTTTAGCACCACAGGTTTTCACGAATGTCCAGTGAGAGAACTTTGATGTGGTTTTGCAGAATTACAGCATTGTTTACTGAGCTGTGATTACTTCTAAATTGATGAAGGGTTTGGTTATGTGTGCAGTTTGCTGACCACACAGGCTTGTGTTTGTTCCTATTACTGTGGTGTAATTAGTATAAATTACAGTATCTAGCACTGGTGAAGTTACTGTAATTTTGATGTAAATCAAAGGCAATGGTTTTGAGAAAAAATAGACCAGGCAAGGCATGCACACAAGGATCTATTTGCTTCTGAGAAATCTTTCTAATTCCAACTGCAGCACAAAAATTTAAATCAGGAAATTCTTCTGCCAAACTGTCAACCAGTTAGGAACCATTTGGACTCCTAATTTATCAAATTCAGACAAAAACAGGAAAGAAGACTGTTTCAGGATATTTTTACTAGCATTGCTAGGTGATTGTCAAGAATGTGGAAAGCTTTTTCCTCCAGAGTGTCCTGTCCTAAAAGTAGTTTACACCAGACACTGAAAAGTCAGTACAACGTGATAAAAGCTTCAACACTTCCTCTCAGTAGTGGGGAAACCTTGGCTGATAAATTGGAGGTATAATTGAAAGCTGCTCTGTTGGCACTAATAGATGGAGAGACATGCGCAGCACTTCCTAAATGATTTAGAGTTGACATGCAAAGAGGGGCAGTCGAGTACTTTACGGTGACTCGGTGAATTGTTCGGTCGAAAGTTTTCCCACCGTTGGTAGCATCAGGAGTCGTGTGAGCAAACTACACAATAAGAGGTCGGTCTATAACTGACAGTTCATATTGAGGGCCGAATAAAAGAATTTCACGTCTCTTGTGGTTGGTATATTTGCCTGTTAAAAAAAAGATAATCGGTTCTTTTACCCTTGGAGGGGATTGATATGGTAAGAGCCATTTTTCGCAGGCCCACCCGTAGTGGGAAGCATTTGGAAAACAAGGGGAAGGATTCCATTCCCATGACTTTTGTATGGAGATGTTTTCCTTTTGCGACGGAGGATGTTGTGACTGAAAATGGCCAGCACCATTTTTGTTGTTGACTGTTAAAAAGAGTTTTGTATGTAACATCCTCAGCTGCTAGTTTGGTATCATAGAGGATTTGGTGTGTTGAAAACTTGGGGAGACGCTGTAGGAAGTTAGGAAGTGAGCAGTCTGGTATAAGCACACTGTGAAGACCTCAGAAATGTTTGAACACATTCCTCAGTTCTAGACTGGCATGTCTTACTTTCATGATTACAGCCCGTCTAGGGGTTTGTTTAGCTTGTCATAATCCTAGCCCATGGCAACAGTGTCATGTGTCTGTAAATCGGTTCGTTGAGGAAGCTGCATGTTGCTGGGAGAATTCTCCCGACGCCCTGGCGGTTACTGAAAGATCCAATTATTTTAGGGGGCAGTTTGACACAGGAAGTACTGAAGGCAGAACGGCTAATGGAATCGTTCAAACGGCCCCGACATTGAAGCCGGAATGACTCCAACGTATGCTGTAAAAATGGTCGCCATTCCAGATGTTTTACACGTAAAGTAGTAGTGACTTTTATGGCAGAAGCACTGGCCTGTATACAAGTTACAACTACCCTATCCCAGATCATTCCAGCTTATACAAGACAGGATGTACAGAGGTCAGATTGGTGGCAACCTCTCTGCACTTGTGCCACACGACAGGAAATACAGCTAACTTCTGAACTTCCGTTTTTTACTGGGGCACAAACTTAGCTATTTTGTTGTTTGTTGCTAGTAAGAAGTAAAACTACAGGTTTGAAATTGGCGCAGCAAAGTCGAGCACTTCAGTTTTTACTGACGCAAAAACTTGGCTATTTTGTTGTTTGTTGCTAGTAAAAAGAACTAGGATTGAAAATGAGCCAACTTTTCCAATCTGTCCCCAGAGAGTCATAGTATATTGGCCAGTGTCTGGTTGACTCAAAAACTTTGCTATTTTGTTGTTTGTTGCCTGTAAAAAAGAAAACTACAGGATTGAAAATAAGCCAACTTTTCCATCCATCCCTGGAGAGTCATAATATATTGGCCAGTGTCAGGTTGAAGAGTTCAAGTTGATCAATCATATGTGAAGCTTCCAGTGGTTATGGGCTGCCCAGGGAGGTCTGACATTCCCTAGTGTACAAATATGCATGTTGGCCTATCAAAGGCCTCATACCACGGATTCATTCATATGCTCCGTGTGCGCCTAAATAAGATATGTGTCAATGCCCAAAATATGGACGCTGGGACTATAGATAGTTTCGTAGAGATCTGAACCCACAAAGACGTTATTTAGATGTTTGGCTCGCTTCTGAGGGTGGTTTTGACACATGCAGTGTTGGGATTGTGGTTGCATTAATTTCAGACAAACATGGATGAATGGGTAGATTGTGGTTTGATATAATTAGCCCCTGTGAGAAAGCTCTGACATTGGGCGTGGTTCTCTTATTTCAAGGCAGTCTTCTATTCGCTCCTGTCCGATTTTTTCAGTCGTCAATCAACGTGAAAGCAAGTTGTAGCGCTATCTAAAGTTTTGACTAGTGATATGTTTGGTGTTGACGTAGTGTAAACCCGGTTTGCTGAAGGTATTTCCCATGATTGTATGCAGATCGGGGCGTACTTAGCGGTTCCTGGCATCCTCCCTCAAGTGTCTTTCAGCAACTTTCCTCCATCTTGTTGTTTTAGTGCAGCCAGGTCTTTGTTTTCTTTGGGTAGCGTTTCATCCCCACCCTGTTTGACTAGACCTCCTATCATGGTGAACTGTGTGATTGTCTAAAAGTTTACCTGGATCACTACACGCTGTGGGGTTTTGCTTAGCCTCCATAGCAAGCAAAAAACTGGGGGTTTTGGGGGTCTTTGGGATCTTTAATGTGCTATTTTCTGATTGCATATAGACATCATAGCCGGCCTGGTTGAATTACCCCCGTTTTTTTGAACTGGGCTAATCAGAAAACGGCCGAAGACCACCAAACCCCCAGTTCTATAAGCCTGCTACGGAGGCTAGGTTTTGCTCTAGAACCCTCCAAACATCCCTCAAGCGTTGCTTTGAGTTTAGGAACAAAGCTGACCTCCCAAATTTGGGGTAATCTTTGAACAACGAGAAAGGTCAGAACAGCAGGACTTTGGTCAAGCATGATTTCAGTCCCAGGAAGGCAGCGGAACAGAACGAAACCTTCCAAAAGTGGGGAGAAAAATTCCTTTGTGAGATGGATTATGGAAGCTACTTGTTGCAGATGTGTGGGTTTGATCCCATGGGTTTCCTAATGCCCCTAATTTGCCTAAAACAGGATTAAATAATGAGGAATATTCCCATTGTTTGGCATGGATGTTTTGTTTTGTGTAAGAAGATTGATAGTTAATCTTATGGTAGGAAACAAAGCACAATATACTCCAGAGAAAATTCAGCTGTAATTTCTTTTGAAACATTACAAATAATGCTGTGCCCTTTTTTGTACTTGAAAGTCAGTTTCAGAGTTGATCATGAAATCTTTTTGGTTAGAAATATTTTTTGTCTGAGCATGGTTTTGTTTCAAACAAAAGTGGTTGGTTTTGTTTGTTGCCACTGTTTTAAAAGAATTCTTCCCAGGTAAAAGAATTCTTCCCGCTTCGATTTACCCAGAATAGAGCCCAGGTATTGGGTTCTATGTCGTTAACCTTCACACCATTGAAACAATTAACCCAGGTGATCCCTACACCGGGGAGACTCCACGATCTGTTTACCGATCAGTAAAGCTTGTTGAGGGGCTGAATCCCACACCTTTGTGGCACCCTGCGCAGACATACACAGTCTGTAATGGCATTATGGCCAGGTATTGCCCTGTCAAAACCCCAACAAGGCGAGGCTTTCCAACTGAAGTGGAGGTTAGAATAACACCGCGCCGTTTCTCTTGTCTTACCCCGCCATTAACGTGCTCAGGTGTCCGGCGTAAATAGTCGCCTTTTATCCCGCGCAGCCCAGGTTTCGGTAAGGCGAGAGCCGGGATTGTTTTAGCGGGGTGGGTAGGTTTTCCACAGTATGTTTAGTATGCAGTCGCGATACGGCATCAGCCTTACTCCCATCCTAAATAACCATGGCCGAAGAAACACTACCACACGTGAACACTGTGTGAACAGTAACAGCCAGGCCGGTGTAGGCCCGTGGGTTGGGTGTTTGTGAACGGTGGTGGGAACCACCGGTTG